ATTAAATTAAAATAACTTAAGTTGAATGGAGACAGTAATTGTCCTAGACTCGACTGGAAAATTAACAAGAGGATTGGAACTGGAGATTAACGAGATTAACTGAATTGGCAAATACATTACCAATCCATCCAATGAAGAACACCGCTTCAATGGAACTCAATTTTATTAATAAAAACTAGAATAAGTGTCTTTCTTATGTACAAGAATGAAGTGCGTAACAGAGGGCACATGATGTCAAAATTGCCGGTCGGGTGAATACCTCTATACTTACTCCAAAAGTAATGTAGAAATTAGAAACTCAGGCATTCCAAGAGAAAGACCGAAACTTGGTGGTGGCAGGGACAGCAAGATGTTCAAGCAGCTGTAAATGCTTCTACCTGAAACAAATATAATGTTTTAGTGATAATTAAAACCCAACAAGCAAGCTATTGAACCAGAGTAGCTTTGGACTTATAAACCACCAAGTTCAACAAAAAGAGTAGAAAAAATTTTGTTCATGGCTCTTGTTAATTATGTCACCGTTTAATTTACTAGTTTATTCATGGATTTGATAATTGAAATTCCTTTAAGACATTTGAAAAATTGATTGATAGCAGTAGGGTAAAACTCGGTTTTGCATCTAGTACGGAAATGAAACCAGTATGGGAAATTGTCATTTTACACGGGAAAAAAATAAAAAAAGAAACTCAGCAGCGAGAATAATTTTTACCTATTAGCAACCAGATGGTCAAGCTGTAGATATTATTAGCATGATCCCCCCACCCAGAAACACCAGGTAATTTGCAGCATTCCGTAATGAGAATAACTCAGCTCTGTGTATGTAGTATGTACATAAATGGTCACTGCCACAAAAAGAACACAGTAAGAGCAGCAGTTAGAAATTTTGTTAAAAAATGAAGCAAGTTTCAAAGAAGCATTTCATGACAATGAATATCCTACCAACCCTTCAAGGAGAAATAATATTCAGGCGACTGTGTTGACATGCATGTATACTTTATTTTGAACCAATTACTTTTCCTAACATCTTCCTACTCATCTCAATCAACAAGAAGAAAACAATAATGGATACTATGGAAGACCTGCACAAACACAAACTATGTCTAATTAGGGAAAAAAGGAAATATAAATGGAGATGAATATATTAACAAAGAAAAAGATTGATTCACTGGATCCAGCATAAAAGGAGTAAAAAAGCAGGGTGATATTTGAGAGTAACCAACCTGAGACTGCCAATTATTTGCCCTGTTTACATAGGATTTGAACCAATAGATTGCAGCCTCTGCAGGAGGGTGGTCATGATATGGGAGCACAAAGCAGCATTACCCATCCCTAGGAGGCCTCCAAGTTAACAGTTATTAACAATTAATGAGCGGTAAAGGCTGAAACTTCCTCTGGGGAACAAAATTGCCAGTACATAGGCAAGCTCTAGTGTCAGAATTCTACCACCCCCAACAACCTATAGATGCTTTTCTATCTTCAGATAAAGTTATTCCTTGAACCTTCAAATATCAATCTGCCTATTTGTACAGGCTTGGTAGAATAATTTCCGCAGAGCCCTTAAGATCACAGGTCCTCAACACCATCTTGAAAAGGAAATAACATGGTGGGTTCATGGCAGTATCAGAATGCAGTTGAAGTGTTCTATACACTAAAAGTTCCAGATTCATCTTGTATTGCAGACATTTAAACAGCAAGAGCTGGAGTGCGTGTGAATGCCAGTTTCTCAACAGAAGTATGAAGTACTGAAGCAGGAAAACCCAAGCAGCCACTTCTCTTGTTCTCCTTAGCAAGAACTTTCTCATTTTTCATCTTAATTAAACTAGTTGGTATAATTGATTTTTCAATCATGCCAGTATTTCTATATTATTATTGGATGTATAACTGAATGATATTAGGGACCGGCCTATATCACGCACCGTTCCAGGGTTGCAGGATGGAGTGGGTGATGGAAGAGAAACTTCAACCTTCTCTGCAACTTTGTTACCAAATCCATTAGAATTTGCAATAAAACCAGCCCCACCAGACTTTATCACATCTAGCAGCTTCACTGTTTCCTGGCTTGTTAAGTTAGCAGCATTGCCAGAAGTCAATGCAAAAACCAGTTCTGGGTTTTTCAGCAAGACAGCTAACAGCTCAAGCTCAGGTTCTGCTGCAATTTTGCCACCAATAAAAGACAAGGATGAGGATGCCTGAGAACCTGCTTCACCATTTACATGTTCTTCATGGGCAACCTGTGTTTCTGTGCCATCAATATCAGGTGGTTGTTCAGTGGGGATTTCTGGGGTCAGTGTGTCATTGTAGTCCATTTCTCTGTCCCATGGTTCCTTTGGGTTACATGGTATCTCTTGGACTGTTTTGTAGATAGTTTCCTTCTCACGATGGTTTCTGTTTTCTGAACATCAATCTCTTTGCTATTTTCACCAGCACCAACAGTCCAAAGGTCCTTGAGTTTGATTTCTGCAGAAAAGAAAAGGACTCAATGGGCTGAAACTCACAGATCAATGAACATCCCAACAACATACAGTATATAACCATGGTAAGACAATGAAAGACAAAATCAAGCAGTTTGAATATTTTTGTTGGTACAGTCAGTGTGCAGACAATGCAGACTGAACCACTGGCAGAGATTGTTGAATTCTTTTGGACCAGAAAAGTACAACAATGGAAAGAAAAAATGAGGACTAGTCAGGAGCAGATTAAACAGTAAAATGTTAAATTTCAGGATCAAAGTCTGTTGCTCTCTGCTAATCTGAAAATTGCTTTAAAATTCACAAATGGCAATTTCAAAAGTTCTTCAGCTGGAAACCATATAATACCATGTAATACCACACCAAACGCAGAAGCATATTCTGTATTTTCTCTTGGCATGAAATTGCTGGCAACAAACAAGGCATATAAATGGAGTTAGCAATTATCAAACTTTGGACCGTAAGAATTCTGATATGCTACACATCTGTATGTTCTAAATTTAATGGGGGTTTTTTAGCTCATCATAAAGACAATAGTCCCTCCAGTACGGGTGCCTGGATCTATGAGTTTACAATAGATCCTCCTTGGTCAATTTTGCTAACGCTGCAATCTTCAAAGAAAAATCATGTTTCTGTTACATTTTGAAACCAGATCTGTGTTTAGAGAAGTAGCAAATGTTAAGAAGAGAGTGAGAAATTACACTTTTCAAAGTTCTTAGAATCTAGATATTTCAATCTGAAAGTGGAAAACGGAGCCCTTATTGCTGTCAGCATTCTGAAAATTGCAGCTTCGGTTACTGTTGATCCAAGGCCGAAGCAGCTTATACCAGACTCAATTTTGAACTATGAAGAACAACATAGATGGCCCCACATTCACTTTCATTAGGCGTGGGAATATCTTCTCAATCAGCCAGCATATTCCTATTCAAGCAATATAATCTCCAAAGTTGATGAAAGAACCCAGTTAAAAATCATTCTATAATCCTCCACATTTGTAAAGACCTCATTAAACTGATTAGAATTCAATCTCAACAGTACACAAGTTTAAAAAAACTGATGTCATTTGTCTTTCATTGTTGCTATCAGGGTTTTTTTTTTTTTTTGGTCTCTCTGATTCCGCAGGCACTGAAATTCCTTATTGCTGACCGTGAGAAGAAGAGCATCCACAAGTTTGGTTATGAGGGGATATCCAATCCTAGCAATGGTGAAGGCATCAGACTAACAACCACATAAAAATGAGTACCTTGAGTAAAAGACAATGCTAATTCAATGCTAATTCAACCACATAAATCTCATCACACGTCAGAGAGACTGAGACATTTTTAGCAAATTGCTCCTGTACAACACATTCAAATAGGAAAGATTTACATTAAAAAAGAAAAAGGTAGTTTAGGAAGTTATTGCAGTCCTATCACAATGAAAGAAATAATGCTATTGGGGATCAAAAGGAGTTATCATCTGGGGTTGAAAAGACATAATTTAAATCTCCCCAAGGCAGTTGCAGGCATGACTCACAACATACTTCTGCTTAAATTTTGATGATCTTAATACTCTCCACCGTTCTGTGGTAAAATTACTCTTTCAACACTAATGTTAATGGCAAACAGCTAAAGGAACCAACAAAGAAACGCTTAAAGCAATGGTACCTGGTGGTGTCTGCCATGGGATTTGAACCTTCATGTATTTCTCCCATGAGGCTTCCTGTGAGTCCATTTTCTGGATTTGATCAAGAGTTTCCACCCTATTATAGGTTCTGAATTTCTCCGAAGGGGGCTCCTGTAAGTCCATTTTTAGGTTTTGATCAAGAGTTACCATAGTATTAGAGATTTTGGATTTCTCCAATGGGGTCTCCTGTGAGTCCATTTTCTGGTTTTGATCAAGAGTTTCCATCCTATTATAGGTTGTGGTGGAAAGCATCAGAGGCCTCTTTGGTTCCTCAGGCTTAGGCAAACCATGACTTAAAGATAATGGTGATATGCTGGTTGAAGTACTTGAAGATTTGTTTAAAGTTTCAATCTTCACTTCATTAGTTTCATTAGATGAAGAACCAGTCTTCCCATATTTGCTCTGCATATATTGAGCATGCATTTTTGCTTTCTGGATGTCATCCGCAGACATTGGATGACCTTGATTAATAGTGGCTGTCCTTGTTTCCTGGGAGTTTTTGACAGTTGTTTTTTGACCAGGCTGTTCAACCAACTGCACCTTTCTGTGCTCCCTGTTATCTGGCCTTAGCTAAGGCAATGTGCTTATTTTCGTTCATAGATGTCAAAGACCTACATAACTGCAAATATATTGTCTTGCAACTTTTCAAGCAAATAAGATAATAATGAAAATCAAAAGAACAGGATCATTTAGAAGTTCAAATAATGGATCATAACTAAAGCAAAGCAAGCTGTTAAAAAAGTTAGATCCTGTGCCACCCACACACACACACACACACACATATATATATAAACTTCAAGTTTTTAGTTAGAATGTTATTAATGGCATACAACTAATTTAATTAATAAATTCTATATTCAATAGCATTTCTGTGTCATATATAACTTGATAACATCATAACAGACTCCATTCTTAGCTCATGAATTTTACATTTTCATTTGCTCTGATGCTTCTAAGCCAACCAGCATGAGTGTCCTATCCAACCAAAAAAAAAAAAAAAAAGGAAAAAAACCAATGTCCAAGGATACAGGAGGTTGATGCACCTAGAATGTGCTTCCTTGATGAATCATCAGTGGATGCTGGCAATAATTTCAGAGGTTGTGGAGATTTCAGTTTCCTGAAGAAGCAATTTGCCCTCAATACTCATAAATTACCAAATATACACAATTCCAAGCAAGCCAAATAGAATAAATATCAGACTGTAACAGATATGTATGCATCCTCACCTGACATTTGAGGGAACAAGAACCCCCTCCTGGAATATGATTAAATTTATTAGAAGACAAAGGACTAACATATTGTCAATTTTAACATATTTTAGTTGATTTACTACTACACTTACAGAGTTGTCAATGTTTGATTGCCATGATTCATCTCCCATAATTTTGCTGATACTGCAAGGTCAAACTACGATGATAAGGGACTGAATTAAAACAAAACCTGAAAATACACGAGGCAAGGAAACTTGCCTCTGCTTTAGCAATAACTCATTCTGTCCTTCAGCAGATGACTTCAAACCATTAGGTTTCTTCATCTCCTGACTCCTTGCAAATATTCTGCTTTAGCAACAATGCGAGAGACAGTATGCAAGGCAAAGATGATTTCTTGGCGGAGCTGACCATCCCATTTTCCCATTTTCCCATTTTCTTGTTTTTGTCTATAAATTGATTAAATTTTGTCCATAAACAAATGATTATTCAATTGCAATTATTTTGGGTTTGATTTAGATTAAGTTTTTCTCAATTGTATTTTCTAAGGTTCATCAAGATAATAATTAGTATATTTTTTTATAATTAAATTACATAAAAAAATAAAATTTAACTTTAATTTTAATAATTAATCAATTAAAATAATATATAATTATAGAAAAATCCTTAGTTCAATTGGCTATTGTAGTATTTTAAAAATAATATACAATGTCTACGTCTCAGCACCCATCTCAGCAATAAAAGTAATGTGTAATCTGCTGATTTTGAGGTATTTGTCCAACTGTGCCTCCACCTCAGCATCTATCTCAGCAAAAAGAAGGCCACGCCAGACCACGAGGGGCTGATGAGCAGACTGTTAAATGTTAACGGAAGGGTTAAGAGAGGGGCTGATTTGCCACTGCAGGTGAGTTGAGGGGTTGATTTGCGTGTGAAATGGGTTGAGGGGGTGATTTGCCAGCGGTT